TCATGGGGCAAGCTACCCTAAGGCAGTTCAAGAATTGCTGGATTTGGTCCTGCGTTAATCCAAATATTATATTTCTTTGTGAGATCAAAATCCAGGATTCTAATTTAAATTCTTTGATTAATACCTTATGTTACCCTAACTCTTTCATCATTAATCCTGATGGTTGGGCAGGTGTTCTTGTAGTTATGTCGAAAGTTGCTTTAAATGTTTCTGTTTTTTGCTCTCATAAGAGGTATCTTTTCTATTGCCATTTGGATTTTAGGATTTATATATGGACCTTTTGTTAAAAGAAATGTTTTCTGGACTCGTATCAATAACCTGCTTCTTTCACTTGATTTCCCTTTCCTGCTAATAAGGGACTTAAATGAAGCGGCATTCATAGATTTGTCTGCTCCCTCTTCCAATTCTATCAGTCACCACCTCACTTCTTCCTAGTACAGTTCACTAATCCTCATGCATAATTTGGTGGAACTCAATCTCCAAGGAGGAGGTGTGACTTGGTCTAATATAAGAACTGTAGGCTATACCCAGAGGACTTTAGATTGAGCTATCCTATCTCCGGAATGGCTCCAATTGTTCTCTGATACCTCCTGTTCTTAGGATCTAAATGGGATTCAGACCATCACCCTCTAATTCTAAACTTGCACCCCAAGAGCAGAAGTTACCCAAACCGTTTAGATTCTTTGAAATGTGGTTCTCAGATGAATTTTGTAAGCGTATTTTAGAAGACAGTTGGAACCTTTAGGTCTCTAGCTATGTAGCCTTTCGGTTTGTTAGTAAATTGGATGCAATCAAGAAAGATTTAATTCAGTGGAGAAAAACTCATTTTGTTGACCCCCAAAGCTAGAATAGAGAGTTTAGAGAAGCAAATCATTCAGACTGAGCAAATGGAGGATTATCCCTTAATCCAAAGCCTGTACAAACAATTAGAAGATGCCTCTTGGCGGTTAGAAAGCTTTTGGAGACAAAAATCCCACCACACTTGGCTGCCTTTGGGAGATAGAAATACTAGCTTTTTTCATAAAAACACTCTATGTAGAAGAAAAAAGAATTATATTGAAGGGAATAAAAATAACTCGAATCAATGGAAATCCACTCATGAGGAGATTGCACAGATTTTTAAGGATTACTTTTCAGATCTTTTTGCTTCTCAGGCAACTCAGGAAATTGAGAATCTCCAATCCCTTCTTCCTCCAATAATCTCCTAGGAAGATAATTCCATGTTATTGGCCATTCCTACTGAAGAAGAAATCAAATCTTCTCATTTTAGTATTGGAAGCCTTAAGTCTCCTCGCCCGGATGGAATGCCACCCTTGGTTTTTAAAGATTGTTGGGATTTTATAGGATCTGAAATTGTGCAAATGGTCCAAAAATTTTTCACAAATAAGAAGTTACTTAAGAGAATGAATTACACTTTCATCTGTCTGATTCCTAAAAAAGTTTATTGTATAAAAGTTCAAGACTATAGGCTTATTAGCTTATGTAATGTCACCTATAAGATCATAGCTAAATTAATAGCTTCTAGGCTAAGGCTAGTTCTTGACAAGTGCATTTCTCCTAACCAGTTAGCGTTTGTCCCGGGCAGACATATAGCTGATAATACTATCCTAACTCAAGAAGCCTTCCATTTTCTTAAACATAAACAGAGGGGTACAAGTTACATAGTTGTGAAACTAGACATGTCCAAAGCTTATGACCGTCTAGAATGGGGCTTTCTATTAAGTGTTCTGTCTGCCTTAGGTTTCTCAGAAGACTTGTTCTATCGTTAAAGAATATATCTCCACAGTTTCTTATTCTTTCCTCATAAATGGAACCTTAGTAGGTTATTTTTGCCCTTCCAGAGGTATCAGACAAGGAGATCATTTATCTCCCTACTTGTTCATCCTAGCCATGGAAGGGTTAAGCCATCTTTTGTACCAAGCTGAGGCTGACAACAATTTAAAAGACAAAATTATCTGCTAATTCTCCCGCCTTTTAACATCTCTTATTTGCAGATGATATTATGCTCTTCTTAAGGGCCCATAGAGATGAGTTGGACAATCTGAACTCTATTCTTTCAATCTTTCAAAATGCGTCAGGCCAACTTATAAACTTTGAAAAATCTAGGATCTATTTTAGTAAAATATCTATCATTGCCATCAAAGAATGATCAAGAGACAACTCCATATAGGATCCCTTGGAACTCCTCTGATTTGGACTAGGAACAGACACAATCAACTCAGTTTTGTTTTGGATAACTTGAATGCTAAATTAAACAATTGGAGGGCCTCAGCCATCAGCCAAGCTAGGAAAAAAGTCTTGATCCAATCAGTCTTACAAGCTACCCCAGAAAACAATTCACCAAATGAATAAAATCATTAAAAATTTCTGGTGGAACACCTCAAAATCTCACAGACAGTGCTACCGCTGGTGTGCTTGGAATACTCTGTCCTTACCGAAAGCTTTTGGTGGTCTGGGCTTTAAAAATTTGACTCTGGTTAATCATGCTCTGCTTAAGAAAACCGCCTGGAAATTCTTAAATGAACAACATAAACTCTGAGTTCAAATCTGGAAGTCAAAGTACTTGAAACCAGAGAATACCTTCCCTTACATCACCCCTTCTAATGCCTAGGCTTGTTGGAAGTCAATCTATCCTAAACTTAGGGAACTTGCCACTGAAGTAGGTTATTTAGTCAATGACAATTCGGACTTCCTGATTTCTCAATACCCCTAGATCCAAACTAATCAAAAAATTCAATGGATTCCTTTACCCTTAGCCCCTCAGCTGCGAAATATCTCTATCAATAACCTCATTTCAGAAGGAAATTAGAATCCATCCTTAATTCATCATCACTTTGATAGGGAGGCTGCTATGCAAATCCTCCAAACCCTGATCTTCCCCTCCTCTAATCATCGTCATTGGATTTGGTTCAGCATAATTTAGGAGTCTTCACTGCAAAGGAATAATATAAAATAAAACAAGCTCGATCAAATCCCATAATAGATGATGATTTGAAATCCTGTCTTTCCAAAATTTGGAAACTCAAAATTCCTACAAGATACCAACTTTTCTTATGGCGAATTCTCAACAATTTTATTCCAACCAGATGTCTTCTTTTCTTGGACTCTATTGAGAAACTTTGTATCTTTTGTAACCAAGAGGAAGAAACCTCGCAACGCCTTTTTTTGCATTGCTCTTTTACTAGAGTTGTTCTCTTTGGCAATCCCTGGAATATCAATTTCTCCCTCACCAACAATACTTTTTGGATAGCTTATTTTACTCTGCTATATAATCAAATTCAATATAATTTTCTTTTCCTCCAAGTTTTAAGTTGGTTTGCAATTTCCTGCTACTATATTTGGTCTACTAGAAACAAAAAAAATTTTGAACAAAAGCATTCACTCCCCATGCAGATCCTTTCAGTGGTGAATAAAATCTTTCAAAATTCCCTTCAACCTACCCCTGTAGTTAATCTTCAGACACCTCAGGAAAATAGTTTACATTTAGCCATTACTTATAATACTGAACTCATCATTTTTTACAAATGCAGTAAAATTGGCTAACTCTTGCTTCACTTTTGGAATTGTGATCTTAATTCAAATCTTCAGTGCCTAAGTATCATTGGAGGAAAAACTTCACAACCTTTAGATATTGTTCATGCTGAGATTTATGCCATTTTGCAGGTTGTTTTGAAGTTACAAAGTTGGAATTTCAGAAATGTTGTCATCTGCTCAGATAATCTTCAAGTGATACAGAAAGCTATGTTACCTTGGTTCTTGATGAGGGCAGATTTGGCCCTCCAATGATATTGTGACACATGCCACCTCAGAACAACTAGGTGACATCCGGAATCACTTTGGCAACAACTTGCCTTACCCAAGTTGATGGTGTCCCACCTAGTGGCCTGGCCCAGGCGCGACCTGGCGGCCTGGCCCTGGCGCGAACTGGCAGCCTGGCGCAGGCACGAGCTGGCAGCCCTGACGGCGTGGCCCTCGTGCGAACTGGCAACCTGGCATAGATGCGAGTTGGCAGCCTGGCACAGACGCGACCTGGCGGCCTGGCCCAGGTGCGAATTGGCGACCTGGCGGCCTGCGAGACGTGCTCGCCGACAAATTTGGCATGCATATCCAAACACTCCCATGATCATTGGAAGTTGGCACACGTGCCGAACGATCCAGAGGGTGGTCAACGTTCATGGCGATTACCTTAGGGAATCTCGGACCACTTAGACGACTTCTCAGAAATCTCGGATATGGTGCGTGAAGCCCACGCCAAACAATGCCTATATAAAGGCACCAACCCCAATGACAAGGGGAGCAAGTAAGCAAATAAGCAAATTCTAGCCTTGGTTAGCCACCCCGGGTCCTCTGACATTTGGTTCCTTACAGGTCTCTAAAGAGCAACGAAGCTCATCAATCCAGCTCGTCACCAGGCAGCTCGACACCTCATAGTCAGCTCGCCACCAGGCAACCCGGCACCTCACAGGCAGCTCGGCACCTGGTCAACCCAGCACCTCACAGGCAACTCGCCACCTGGTCAGCTTGGCACCTCACAGGCAACTCGCCACCTAGTTAGCTCGGCACCTCATAGGCAGCTCGGCACTATAGTCAGCTCGCCACCTAGCCTGCCCAGCTCGACTCATCTCGGCAGCCAAAGTTCTCCACTTCGGCCTGAGTCATCAACCACTTGGAAACAGACCAAATGACGAGGTACTTAGCACAAAAAATTCACACTCCACCAAAAATTGATTCATCAATTCTGCTTCTGGCTTTTGCAAAAAACCAAAGATCCGTTTGGTTGGCAATAATAGGGGTCCGGAATCGGAATCGGTCCATTCCGATTCCATGCGTTTGATTGGGCGGAATCAGAATCCGATTCCCATCTCGGACGGAATGGCAATCCCCATTTTCGGAAATGGGCCATTCCTGACCCACCCCCCCGGAATCGGAATTTCATTCCCGCTTTTTCACATAAAAAAACCAAAATGACAAAAAAATCCTCAAATCTCTCCCGACCCGATTCCAACTTTCTAACCCACACTCCTCTCTCTCTCTCTCTCTCTCTCTCTCTCTTTACTTCCTCATTCGGAAGCTAGAGTTCGAAGTAGTGATCTGAAATTCAGAACCGAAACTCCGGCGACTGTGACAAGGTAAATCACCGTTGATTTTTCTCTCCTATTTCCTATTCTTCTTCTTCCTCTCCTTCTCTCTCTCACACTTTATTTTTTTCATTACTCCCCAGTTTTTTCACTTTAAACCCGACCAGACCATAGCAAGGTAAGTTTTCATTTCTGAGTTAATGCTAGCCGATTCATGATCCCTTAAATTAGAGGATGAAACAGATTTTGTATTGCAATTTGGAAAGTTGAATTCCTTTTCTCATTTTTCTACTTTCGAGAGGTAAAATCTCTGAAAATTCCGCTCGTTCTATTTAATAGGCTGAACTATATAGAGCTCAAAAGGTGGTTTCCTCTTCTTCTCTATTCTCTCTTCTTTATTCTCTCTTCTCTTTCTCTCCTATCTTCTTCTCTCTTTTTTCTTTCTATTTTCTGCTATTATTCTAATCAAATTATACCATATTTATAGCCATTAGTTGCTTACCTTCTTTGATGAGATGTCCTGATGCCCATGGACCTGAAACATTTGAAGAGAGCCATTATATGAGAAGTTCATCTTTCTCGAAGAAGGAAAAATTATATAAACTGGGATATAGTATATATAATAGGGCTTTGACTGTATTGATTAGAATAGGGATGGCATATGGGTGCATTCATGCTTAAAATAGAGAGAGCAGATACAAGCATTCCAAAGCTGCTGCTTATGGAGGTATAGAAGCTATGGTTTGTAAAGAAAAATCTAGGCGTTCGATGAAAAAACAGTGGTATCTGGTAGGTGCCATGTTTTAAGGATGGCTTCTGCTAAAATTCAAGAAAACATGAGGGTGATTTATGTATATTAATTTTCTTTTCCAACTTTTAGAGCTAAAAATGTGATACTATAATCATGTCATTTTCACTTGCACAGCCTTATGGTTTACTATTCCAATGGTGGATCCTAGTAATCTGTATATATGTAATATGTGGTAAGTTACAGGGTACCAGGTTGAAGTATATTGAATTATGGGGGCACCAAAATCACAACCTCCTCTTAACCTCCTTCGTTAGCTCATAGTTGGGGACTTGTGCTTTTGGTCAATTGCCACATATATTAGAGCACTTATCTTCTTCCAACACTCCAAAGAAGTTAAGTTGTTCTAAAGGCGGACCAAACATCTGGAAGAGGAATAGGGAGATGACACAGAACAGATAGCACTCCACCGGGGATGCTTTTCAAATTTCAACTAACTTGTCTTTCCTTGACACAGGGAAAGAGATTGATTTATGGAGAGAGGGTACTTTTTTTCCTAGAAAAGAAATCTGAGAAATTCCACTAGTTTGTGCCTTAGACATGCAACCTTGAATTAGTCAAATGCTGTTAATCAAGAGTTGAAGTTAGACTTGCAATATTTCTATGAGAATACGAACTTGGATGGATTGCTTGTCAATCAATGTAAGAGGTTTGTTTGGATGGTTTTAGTTGTTAGAAGGAAGAAATGAGCAAGTGTCCAAGATGAAGCTTTGTAAGTCAGCATTGACTTTATGGGGTGATTGTCTATATATATTTTTTATCCAGCCAGAAAATTCATCTAAACTTTATGGGGTGATTGTCCAGGATTTAGCAATGTGAATGCCAGATTTCTTTTTTCTTTCTCACCAATAGATAGTTCTTATGTTTATGGAAAACAGCTTATGTATGAATCCAATATTTGTGTAAATTAGCAATTGCTAATACTAATCCTAAAAATTAGATAATCATCACATCCCCACCAGTTTTTGAGAGCAGACTCATAAGAGAAATGCAACATTGTTTGAGAAGTACAAACAGATGGAGGAGGTGATAGAACTCACAAAGATAAGAGTGGTGCATTGGGATTTAGTGACAACAAAATTTAAAGAYTTACCTTTTAATAATTGATTAGAGACTGGTAAACAGTGGTGGGTTTCCAAAGAAGTAAACAGGTAAGAGTGATGCAACGGAGTCCACCAGGTTGTGGGAAAATCAAGTTTAATTTTGATGGGTGTTGTATCAGAAATCCAGGGCTATTGGGTGTAGGGGGTGTTGTCGGAAATGTTATGCTTAGTTTTCCAGGCCCAGTGGGACAAGGGAAGTCTTTGAGAGCAGAATTGATGGCTCTAATACAAGGTTTAAAATTGATGCAACAACAGGGGTTAAGAGATGTAATAGAGGAGGGAGACTGTCATGTGTTATTTACTGGATGAAAGGTCAGAAACAAATATCTTGGGAATTTAAGGCTTTGGTAATTAGGATGGTTGTCTCATTAGGGTCCTCCCTGAATGCCTCATTCAATTGGATCCCTAGAAGCGCAAATATGTTAGTAGATTCTTTAGCAAGAGATGGAGTGGGGAGGGGTTCTCTGCTGTGGGGTTGCCCTGGACTAGGTTGTAATTTTGCAGAAAAGATTTCTTGTTAGGGGTGTGGGGAATTTGTTTCTGTTATATAAAGTGTACCTGTTTTAATGATGGTTGCTTTGTAATCAGTTTGACTTGATTAATGAAAATCTTCTGTAATTTATCAAAAAAAAAAAAAATCACATCCTAACCTGTCCCAACCTATGTTATCCAAACACAGAAGGGACATGCCTGGATACAGTACATATATGAAATTTACACTAAAATTTGAAGTATCCAACATGATATGGCACCCACGTACATGTATCTGGGTATCATAGGTTCTAACCCGTTTAGGTGGGTTGGCAACACCTACCTATTCCCTCATTCTGCTCTAAGGCTGTGTTTTATGTTATAGTAGTGGTAGTAGTTGTGTATTAATAGTTATAGCATTTTTAGCTTTAGTTTATACATTGAAAACTCATTTCTATGCATGTCAACAACAGATTTCCAAATATAAAATTTATCTAGGAGATAGTAGTTGTGTATTACTATCATCCGTCTTATCCCACTTAAGTGGGACTGGAAGCATCAGTAAAATTACTCTATCTTGGTCTATGAAAGGTCATATGGTACCACCATCATCAACAACAACAATTTCATGTTGTAGGCTGAGAGATATTTTGTTGAAGACAGTCAAACCTTCCTAGATATTCATGGGAAATTATCAATATATTCCCAAGATTTTACCATGTTTAGATTGTCTCTATCTTTCTGTCTCTCTTCCATCAGGCCTTAATTGTATCAGTGAAAAGGTGCATAAATTTCATTTCTAGATCTCTAGAAAAATCAAATTACACTTAGACAATAAGGAATATGCAGTAAAATGAGCACCTTCTCTGAGTTGTATATTATTGTACAATGTTGAAATGAACCTAGAGTAGGACCATGCTTCCAACTTTAAGGAACTCAAGATTACTAAAGTCTGCCCATGGGAAAATAATATCCACTGTGGTTTTCAACTTGGCTTATGTAGCTTGAACAAGTTTGTGCTACATTAATCCTGTTTTGTCATTCCATTCTATCAAGGGCCATATCCATTGACCATTATTAAATTGTCTACCCCAAAATAATTTCTCACTACCTCAACCAATGTCCTTTTACGCCTGATCCTGTCTCATCTTGGTTCCAGCCCCTTGCATCAGATTGCTTCTTATTGGTGCRGCARGCAGTCTTCTATGTATATATCCAAACCATTTCGGTTTGTTATCCCTCATTTTATCACCTACTGGACTAGTAATCTCTCTCCTATACTTTCACAAGGTAAAAATCTTACCAATCAAGAAGCAAAAAAAAAAAAATCTGATCAATCAGGATTTGTGAAACACACTAGAGAGCAATGGAAGCAAATTGAACATTGACTCCATCTTACCTGATTAGGTTATAATGAATAAATTATTAAATACATAAGAAAACTAAGATTTTTATGTTGTTAATTTATAATGCATTTGATGTAGGACAAAATTCACAATGAAATGTAGGCCTAATGTGTACGGACAATATCAATTCAGATCTAAAACAAATCTGTAGAGTATTAATTATTAAATACACAAGCAATGGAAGGTAATTGAACATTGACTCCATCTTACCTGATTAGGTTATAAAGAATAAATTATTAAATACATAAGCAAACTAAGATTTTTATGTTTAGTTGTTATTTTCTTTCTGGTTTTTCATCTGCTTTGAGCCTGTTATCTGTTTCTCTTTATTTTCTTTGTTTTTTTTTCCAGAAAAGCAGTGAATTGTGCTTTTTATCCCATGTTTTCTTCAATTTCTTTATATAATTATATCTTGTCTTTTCAGAGTCTCCAAAATACCAAGCCCCATCAGTGAAGGAAGGGAAAGATGGCCAGAAATTGCCTTCCAATCCTGAAGAGGTTGAGGACCTACGATGTGATTCTGCTGCAAATTGACTGATTACATTCTCTTACAATGAACTAAAGATAATAACAGAGAATTTTAGGCCAGATCATGTGTTGGGTGGAGGAGGATTTGGAACTGTTTATAAAGGATACGTTTCTGAGGATTTAAGTAAGGGGCTTCAGCCCCTTCAAGTAGTAGTCAAGGTTCATGATGGGGATAATAGTTTTCAGGGCCACAGAGAATGGGTGGTACTTTTGTCTTTGGAGATTATTTCTCTTTCAGTTCTGCTAAGAACTTGGCAGGTTTGTAGGCAGAGATTATATTTCTAGGACAACTCTCTCATCCAAATTTGGTTAAACTCATTGGATACTATTGTAATTTCTGCATTTTCCCTGCAAACTTTTTATGTTTTTCTATTTTTTTGCAAAATTTCTACAATTTTCTGCAATTTCCTACAAAAATTCTGTAACTTCTATAATTTTATGCAAAATTGTTGTAATTTCTGCATTTTCATGCAATTTCTACAAAATTCCTGATATTCTCATGCATTTTTCGAATTTTCTGTAAAATTGTTGTAATTTCTGCATTTTCCTGCAAATTTTCTCTATTTTTTATTTTTCTACAAAATTTCTACTCTTTTTTGCAAGTTCTGCAAATTTCATTTATTTTTCATGCATTTTCTGAATTTTCTACAAATTATTGCAATTTCTGCATTTTTTGGTATTTCCATGCATTTTCTGCTTTTTTTAATTTTTATTATGGGTAAAATTGAAAATCATGGCTGATTCCGATTCCAGCCTCTTAATGAACCAAACAGCATAAGTCAGAATCTGATTCCGATTCCGGTCTGAACCAAACAACCAAGTGAAATAGACCATTCCGGTTCCGATTCCAATTCTGATTCCAATCACAAACCAAACGGGCCCCAAGATATTAATTTCCCAATCTTAGTTGTCTGTAAAATATAAACATATAAACAGATCTTTTAATACTTCTGCTCATATGCTATCCCAACGGGCAAAGTCCCATCCTTTAGAATTTTTTGAATGTAATGTCTACCCTGAAGGAATACCTCCTGTGGATCAGTCTGTAAATATTGCCTTTTTTTAATAGATAGTGTTATTTACCTTCCAAAAAAAACAATCGTCAATTAACGGCACTTGTATAAAAGACAATATTCACTCAAACAATTCACAATTCACAACCGATCCAATCACATCACGATCTGATGGTGGTTCAGTCTAATTTATCCAAGACCTTTATCAAATCCCAATGCCACCAAGGTTTGGAGAAATTGGATTTAATCCTCATAAAATTGGTGTTTACACCTGATTCACATTTGCGCCCCACAATGCCGATGATGTCATCATCGGGAGGAGAATATGGTTTTTAAAATCGGACTGGACCGGATGGTTGAACCGGAAAAACTGGGAATTGATCACATGATCGGTTCTGTTTTTCCTCAAAATCGTTGATTTTGGTCAGCAAATCGCTGAACTGGCCGGTTAACCATTCAAACGTTTTTCAATTTTTTTAATTTTTTGTCAGTGGATCGACCGTTCGAACCGATAACCGAACCCCTGATCGGTTCGGTTTTAAAAACCATGATGTTCCCAATACAAGGCGGAGATGCGCTGTGGGATGTTGTGGGGCACCCGTTGTGGGGTGCCCCGTCGTGGGGCACAGATCTGAACTCATTTACACCATTTGGATAGGAGATCAGATGTTCAGATCTTCTACCCACGAGCTGTTCCCATATTTTTATCCACTAGACATTACAATTGTGCATTGGGAATATCTCCCTTGTAATTCATAGGAAAATATTCTCAATACACGGTGGTTGCGCTTTATGGGTAGAGATGTAGAAGCAACTTATGAGTAGCGGATCCCAATTGTTTTAACAGACCTTTTCAACCGTGCATTAGGAACATCTTGATACGGTGTAAGCACAATTATCTGCCCTCAGTTGTAAGGGTTAAGAGAAGGGAATGGGCTATCCCCCATAATGTAGTCCCATGAAAAATAAAAATAAAAAATAAAATAAAAAAAGACTGATGGGTGCTTAGACCTACCTAAACAGGTCACCCTCGAGTTGGGCGAGCTGAGGAAGAAGATAAAAAGTTCTTTACTTTTTTAAGTTTCAAAAAGATATTTTTTGAAATAACGATGCCGTTTAATTTTTTTCACACATGTGAATGGAACCGGATCTACTCCTCACACATGGGTGTCTCACAGGTACATCCACCGTCCGTTGAGAACATCTCCCATGAATAATAACTTATAAATACGAGAGATATTCCCAATGCACAGTAGAACGTGCATCTGAGGTCGGTGTGAAACGCCATGTGAGGAACAGATCCGGTCTCCATGTAAATGGGATGCCCGTATAAATTATATATGTTTCAATTTAATTGGTAGTGCACCCCGATACACCAAATCGAATGCAGGAGATCCGAACTCACTACATTGCGGCAAATGTCGGCATCATCAGAATCTTTGTTTTTGTGTTAACACATTAGTTGCTCTCGTAGGGCTAAGGAGTCGTACACTCAGTGATAGAATGCACATGAGAGTCTGTTAGTATAATGTGAAGAGTTTATATTACGTACCTGCGGGTTTGAAGGATACAACTTAAGCTTGAGTTGAGATTTTGTCAAAATGGGTCCAAGCTTAAAACAGTGTAAAATACATAATCAGACTAACCCGAATTGTAACCATAATTTGAATATAATACCTCCTCACACAGACCTCACAAGTGGGATGTATGCGTTTAGTGTGGGGAGCAAATCTCATAATATAAAGGTCTGTTAACTTTTGCTCCCTCAATTGAAGTAGTAGTTCCATTGTTTCATGATAGATGATGAACTCATACCTCTTTTTTCTCTTGGGATGAGGTGACTTTTAACATCCACCAGAAGGTATAGGTTCTGGCACTCCCATGCAACCACCCCACAAAACACACAAGTCAGCAGTGGGAACAAAGTCAACATATAAGTTCTCTTTCTTTCACTTTTCAATAGATATGCATGCCGGGCCAATAACATTAACAAGACATTCACAGCATCATCTTTGAATTCGACTATAACACGTTTGAGGGGTAGCACCGTTTCAGTGTCCAAAACGGAGTACAAAATGAACAAAATAACATGTTATAGATGACCAATTCCCTATGAAAATTGAGCACCGAAAGACTAGAATAGAGGCTGATAGGATGAACAATGGTCCAACGCCAGAAGATAAACATGACTTGATCCTTCATCTCAAGTCCTGCAAGAAAGCACTCAAGTTGTATCAAGAAGAAAAAATTGTAACTGGTGTTGTGGTGCACATTCAGGATGAAAAGATAATTTAGACTAATGTATGTTTTTTTTTCTTTTTGGTTGGTGCATTTTCTGCATGTAGATGTAGAAACAAGTAGTCTAGGAACATCTCCTTTGCCAACAAAAGCAATGGGATATCAAAATAGATAGAATTGGGCAATGCATGATATATTTAGAATAGAAACAAAGTTTCCTAGGGAATGAAAGCATAGAACTGAGGCACAATGAAGTTAGAGTTGTGGATGAAGCTTCAGGCTCATATTGATCATGGGTTGACAATGTGAATCAAACCCCATAAGATACAGTATCCCCTTAGGGGTGATCATTTTCATTTCTAGCCTGGTCAGCCCAGAAACTTCCAGGCTTGGGTCTAGATTTTGTGTACAGGTTTGGCCCACAATATTATAAATATTATAACATGTCAAAATATAAATATTATAATATTTATAAATACATTGTAATATATGTTTATATTAACATTATAAATCAAATATAACTTTTATGACCTGCACCAAAACCAAGGCAAGTATATAAATTACACGTATATTCTTTATATTATAATAAATATATATACTTGTATCATATTTGTATTATATAACATTATAACATTACAATATTTTATAATATATAAAATATAACATGTATATTCTTTAATATAAATTACATTTGTATCATATTTTATTATTTTATATTTAATGGCAAGGCCCAAAGCTTGGCCTGGCCCATGATCACCCTTAATCCCCTTCTTCACTAATAGCTCAGTTGCAGAGCAGTCAACTGTTAGTTGATGACTGGTCACAAGGTTTGAGTCCTATTTGAGGAGATTTAGTTCATTTACATGCATGCTGCACGGTTAATGATAGCAAGGGTCTAATAGGCAGCATTTCTGACTCACTGCTATTCTGACCATTTGAAGCTGGTTTCATTCCTCGTCACTATCGTAAACAAATGCCATTCTACGATGGGTTGTTGCCTTTCTTGGAGGAGACTCGCCATCTGACTCGATCTCCTTGCGCTTGAATCCACTTCCAGACTCCCTACCTCTTCTCCTTAGCTCCTGCAAGAAATCCAAGAAACTTCAACTTAAATAACTGAATTTCTTTATGAAAAATTCCCTTGATGCAGGACACTGTTTCTGACATCTGGAAATCATGATCACCATGTCAGCTAACTAGTCAACTACTTGGTTTTTATAATGGCCACCAAATGATACATTACTCCAAACATCATTTGTGATTGTACTTGTTTATTTCCAGTCTATATGAATAATAATTTCCTTGCATAATTTTCAGTCTTGCTCCAGCACCTTTAGATGCAAAGCAGTAACCATACATAATGCACTGTATGCAGGAAGCAATAAGTGGAAGCCTTTGATCAAAAGAAACAAGGAATATTTGGGCAAAGAGCTGTGCACCTCATCTTCCTCTTCTGATGCTTCATTTGCACCTGTGTCCTCTTCCTCCTGCTCATCATCCTCCTCATCTCCATTCTCTGGCTCCTCTGCCCTCTTACGTGGTGGAGATCTTTCCCCTTCATCTCCATCACTTTCATATTCAGATTCCTCTCTCTCACTTTCAGAGAACTCTTCAACTGGACGCCGAGATGATCGAACAGCTGGCAAGGATGGTTTGCGTGGAATATCCTTGTGTGCCTGCAAATACATATTACGGCAAGATTTATCATTTTATTAAGAAAAAAGAGAGAGAGAGAGAGAGAGATGTTGCAAAACACTGTTATTTCTGAAAGCACTGAAGTGGCAGTACCCTCTTTGCATTCATGATACGTTTTTCAGCCTGTGCTTCCACTTCCAGGTCTTCCTCAAAACGATGTCGAGCAGCCGAGCGACGAGATTCATAATAATCAGGCTCATCATCCTGCACAACAGAGCAGGGGAAAAAAGACAAAAGATTGACTAATGTTCCAAAGATGGAGGAAAATGTGCTTATGGACTAATGTGCCAGTAAATGCTATCCTAGACACAATTGTACTCAGTCTTAATCCCACATTCCATCCATTTGGGTTCAGCTACATGGATCCTGCCCTTGCCATTCTACTCTATCAAGAGCAATTTTTCAATAACTTTGCAAGTCCTTAATTCATTTTACCACCTAAGACCATGTTTTCTTTGATCTTCCCCTTGCTTTTCTAGAGCCTTCTACTCACATTAAGTCACACCTCACTGGTGAGGTCGTCTATAGCCTTCTACTCACATTAAGTCACTCCTCACTGGTCAGGTCGTCTATAGCCTTCTACTCACATTAAGTCACTCCTCATTGGTGAGGTCGTCTATCCACATGAAAAAACCATCTCAGTTGACTTTCCCCCATGTTGCCACTAATTGGAACTACTTCCAAGTCCTCTCTAATGTGCTTATTTCTGACCTTGCCCTTTCTAGTCTTGTCACCCATCCATCCCAACATCCTCATTTCAGCTATATCTAGATCAGCATCACATTACCTCAATCCATGTCAACCTTATATCCAATGATTTACTGAATCTTTTCTCAGTGGTTATAACTCTTAAATATTGAATTTTTTTTTAATTAAAAGCAGCTTTGTTTACAAAGAAAGGGAGCAATTCCCCAATAATACAAAGAGAACACAACCTTGTATCTCATGTCCATGTTGAAGATTCCTGATTCTCAAACTAGTAAAACTCTCCCCACCCCACAACACCCCAAAAAAATAAATAAATAAAAGGCAAGCATGCACGTGCACATACGCAGCACACACACACACAAGAGAGAGAGAGAGAGAGAATAAAATAGCTCATGACAGACCTCATCAAGTGCTTCCTCCAAGAACCCAGGTGAGAGTTGCCGACCCTTCTCTACAGTTTGTGTGTACTTCCTGTTGACCTTTTCTCGCTTACGATGCAGAAGTTCATTAGCTCTAATAGTTTGACTTTCAGCCTGTTAAAGAATAAAGACCATGAAGATTGAAAAATCTACAACAAAATTTAGTCAAAAAGAGATTTGGTGAGGGACTAGGCCATTAGTTGCAAGTTTAACCAAAGTACCGGGAGCATACAGGAAAATACATTGATGTTTTGTGATTTCAAACACAGCAATGCTAGGTGATAGAAATAACTTCAGCTCACCAAGGTTCTATGTTAATAAGCAGCAAGTTTAATTACCTTCTCTTTCTCCTCCTTTTCCCTCTCAGGATCAATGTCAGTGATGCAATTCTTAACTTTGTAAACCTTTTTATGTCGTGAGTCAACAAGAGCAGTCAATAACCGATGAGAGTTTGATGACAAGGAAGATGGCATAAACCTCATCTTCCTTAGGAGTCTCCCTTGTGATTGAAGGATTCCCTACATGATAACATACAGCACCAGGAAAATTTTCTAATCAGGTAATAGCACAAACAATAGAATAGACAAGGGGGAAAAGAGCATAGCTTTACCATTCTGTATGAATGTCAATTATTATTATATGAAACCTAACCAATCAGCAGCTAAGGGTACCTAAAGGAAAACCCAGGAAATTGAAACCCTGGCCTTCAGGCAAATGCAATAATGATTAGGTTATGTATGAGGTTATTGTTCCACAACAGGGTAAGAGAGTATAATGACCTCTCTGTAACAAACAATGTCAAACACCTATTCCTTTCTTATGCTTACATAAAGGATATACGGAACCATTTCCACTCTTTTAGGTGCTTGACAGAAACTAATAGCTGAAATCTTTAAGCTTTTTGGTTCTCAAGTTCTTCCCCTGATGCTACAAGGGCAAGAATCATCTGGGATGTACTAAAGTATCGAAGTAACATTCTCCAGAGTGTTTGGACTGAGAGAATGCATGATTTTGGGTTTCAAAAAAAGGAGTTCAGGGGTATTTCTAAAGATTATATCCTTTGTGGGTGGCTGGTGGTTGCTGGTTTTCCCCACCAAAGAAAATGCATGATTCAAGCTTGGTACCACACCTGTTGGTACATGGCAGGTATGGTACACATGCTTAGATATAACTTGAACTATATTGTTTTGATTTATTCAGGACCTGTAGGGGAATTTCTTGCAAGGTCTAAAACTTTCTTTCTCATGGGGTTAGAATGAACTTATTGTATACAGGGCTTGTATTGGATAATGAATGCTGGCACTACAGGCCCATGGAACACTGGTTCAGCAAATTCATTAAGTCATTGGTTTCTAGGATGAACAACACTTTCAGGTAGGTTCCAAGATCAGCTAATGATCTCACTAGTTGTCATGCAAGGGAAGTAGTAGGCAAGATGAGCCACTCCTGAATAGGGATGCAACTTGGATTGGTCTAAGTTAGCATTTTACACTGCTTTGGGCTCAGGCCTTCAGGCAGATTGAAATTTTGACAAAGGCCCAACTTGAGCCCACCCAAGTTGCACCCCTACTCCTGAATGAGGATCAGGAACTTGAATTCAACCAATAGATACATTGTACAGTTCTTATTTTTTTGTGTTTTCTCCTGCCAAGACCCGGCTGTCATGCTCTTTGTTCCCCCTCTTGAGACATCCTCAAGAATAGGGGGTCTTTCAAATCTATTTATAATAATTAATAAAATTCTTTCATTGTGGTTACTATAAAGAAATCGATAAAATGTCATATCAGGTGTGAGGAAATACAGAGACAATTAGATATATTAAAATAAGAAAATTTTGTAAAGGAATGATGCTTATTGAAACTCAAAGATTGCCAACTCATGCATTTAGATTTCAAAAACCCTAAACTGGAACCACCTGGAACAAAAACCAACTATTAATTTCTGAGCACTAGCATCAGGAGATTGGAAAAGCCACCTTTCCATGTCGAAGGAAAAGATGTGCTTGATCATGCAATGCCTCTTGTACAGATATATCAAGAACTTCATTCCCAATTAACAATTGCAAACTGCCGTCCGACCACCTTACAAAACGTGCATTGCTTTCGTACTGCATACAAAACAAATCATCGTGTATACTCACAGAACAGATAATGCCAATGAGTTTTCTACCAGCAACAGTGAATTGTATTAATTGTGAAGGATAAAAGAGAAACATCTATGTATCCAAAACAAATACAGAGATGACGACGCAAAACAGCTCAATCTGACTGATATCCTTATTTTCTTTTACAGCTAGTATGGATTTACATCAATACCCAGACATGGTGTCCGCCATAAAAACTGGGTCCTGGTTATTCCATTTCTTGCAAGGGCATCTGCTATTATATTATTGGTTTTCACTAATAATGTCAAGAGGTTTGGCAATAAATTTAGTGCCATCTAACAGCACCAAAGAAAAATACCAATTTCTAGCTTCCAGTTGAGCAATAGATAGCAGCAGAAAAATGAAAAAGTACAAAAAAGAATGTAACGACATACAGTATTCCTCATGAACTGCCATATATGCCAATATTACTAATTCAACGATTATACCACTGCTATTCTCAGAACAGAATCTATAATGCTATATACTTTGTATTTCTTTTTTTTATCAATAACAGAACTTCATTAGAAATATTAGGAATTAAAAGATAGGGAGAGGTAAACTATCTTAACTCTCCACAAACACAACACTGTTACAGCTGAGCCCAAAACAACTGATTCCTCTCCACCCCTTGTTTTGCTAAAACATCAGCAAAACTATTCGCTTCCCTTTTAACCCAACCGAACTGCACTTCCATATCTTGAATCATCCACTCAAATCTCTTTTTTTCATTATTAAAAATCCAGAATCCTTTATCATCCTTTTGCAGCCAATCCAAAACCAGCTCTGAATCACCTTCTACAATCAGCTTTCTGACATTCAGATCTTTTGCCTTTTGCATACATACTCTGTATTTCTTCTGAACATGATTCAAAGATAAAGACTGGAATTATGAGTCCAAGTTGACATGACTAAAAAGTAACAGAAAATGGTAACTTCCAGATGAGAAGATAGCTATACAAATATGGCCTTCATTTCATGCAATGACACAGGTCAACCAGCATAATATTCCAATTCCCAATCGCTTACCTATTTGTGAGATTCTGAAGAAGAAATAATGAAAAAAACAGATAACAAGAAGTGATTTTGGACTTTCTTAAAAAAAAAAAAAAAAAAAAAAAAAAAAAAAAGAAGAAGTGATTTTGGAGTCTTTTCGTAACCTAGAGCAAGGGTAGTCTACACTTGAAAAGCCCTTCAACTTCAATACTGTTTTTCACAATGAATAGAAATATCCCTGCTTTAAGAGTTCTAGCTAGGTACCAAATAATGACATGGTAAAATGGAAGAAAACTGATATGACACAATACACATACAGGTTTACATGTACCATGCATAGACGATTGCATATTGGATTGTCTGGTTCCATCTATATTCTACTCACACCACTTGTCAAAAAATGGTTTTGATGATTGAGATACAAAGATGGGTGATGAAATTTCCATTTTAAGCAAAAAATCTACAATTCCACATCAACAGGTTCATAGACATGGTGTAAATAATGGGGTTAGACATCTAACCACAGGCTGGTGTTAAGGAGTGTCAAAAGCATTTTGACCCCCCCCCCAATCACAGTCTCCACCTCCTGATGAACGTTCTTCCCTAGGGGAAAAAGAACCAAGGATTTAGCTACTATATGCATAGATTTATTTGCCACGTCCTCTATAGGCAGCTGGAAATTCATAGAGAATGCCTTATCAATTCAGTATTTCCTCTTCAGATTACAGACACTCACATGCTGAACAGTTGAAGCCACATAACCAGCATCCCCAAATTTAACCAGACCCTTCCTTCTCTTGGAAACCAGACACAAGGGAAGTTCTATACTTCCCTAGCCCTTCAAATCCCCCCTCCAAGCCACAACTACACCACTTCCTTCCCCCTCTCCCCACTTATCCATATTATGCTCCATGGAAATTGCTACAAGTGACATCAAAAACAAGCAAGAGCCTTAATCAAAATAGAGTTGAAAAATGCGAAGTACCCAATGTCGATCCAAAAAAGTAAGATACCCAAGATATCTTCATCTTTAAGTAACAAGGGTAGGAAGAATGGCAACATGTCCCTAATTAGTTCTAATCAAAGGGGTGCAATGGTGAGTTCACAACCCACCAACACCTACAGGACCTATCCAGCCTTTTCAGTAGTATGTCCTTGAGGCACAGCTGACTCTAAACCCATTCTTCTCGGGCCTATATGGGTTTTATTGAACTGATTTGGCTGCCCAATCTTTATTTCATGTGCAAACTTCAGTTTTTGGTAGTTCCTATTTTCCATTTGAAATCTTTAGTAGTTCCTTCGAGTCATTTAGTTGCAGAATCTACAGTATTTTAAGTACTCAATTATTTTCTAATTTTATTCCTACTGTCCTAGGTTTGTTTGTAATAGTTTCTATTTCAGTATCTTGATTTTAGTGCTAATTTGAAATTCTATGTAGGAATAACTCATCACTAAGAAGATTCTTTATTATGCCTAGTTTTAACTTCAAGTCTAACCAAGTTTTCCTAGGTGATATAGGACCACCCAAATGGGCATCACCTAGCCTTAAAAAGATGAGTTGTTGCTTAGGCAATGCCCTGAGAACTATGCTAATAGGAATAAGTGATCTACCAATTCTTCCAAAGACTTGCACAGACAAGACCTGCTGATAATTTGAACTTATCCACAATTTAAATGATCAACCATAAAAAACCTATGAAGGAGAACCAGCTAAATAAAAGACTCTATTTTCGGAGGAGCCACCTGACCAAATAAAACCAGCTTGTACAGACATTATTACATCTTAACAGAAAATTTTGCAGTCAGCTCTACTCTCAAACTAACCTCATCCTTTTGGCCCAACAATATAAGGACAGCTTCAAGCTTTTGGAGGAGAAACAAGCATTTACTATCTTCATCCTCAAAAGAGACCTTAACACCAGAGGCCCCTCCAAACAAAAATAACCAATCAATCTCCCCACCTGAGTAGATAGAAACAAAGTCTAGAGAACTAGTCACTGGAATTCCAAATGTCACTCTAATCATCTTGCTAAATCTGATTTGGGACCCATCCCACACTTTGAATTTTGTTAATTTCATTTTGGGTTTCTATGGGTTGCTTCTTTCATTCTAATTATTTTCTGTTATTTTAGAAGTCCACATTCAGCTCTTGTTTTGGCCAATTAACCTTGTGCCTAGTGTTAGCCCAAAGTCCCTTGAATCCATTGAAATCCAAGAATAAAACCCTAGTTTTCACCCATTAAGATTTTTTTAGAGTAACTGTTAAAGATTTTATTAATTGTAGAAAAGAATGATATACAAAAAATATGTGCTTAGCATCTCCCAGGGATTGTAGGCCAGTCCCTGCTGTCTAGCCCATCTATCCCTCTTTAATTTACGCACAACCCTGGTAGCTGAATCTAGCAAGTATGCAACTTTTGATTAGTGTGTCATACTTTAAACAATTAAAGAAGAAAACGTCCACCATACAGAAAAGGTAAATATCGAATCACTGTTCTAGAATCTTCAAAGTCCAGAAGCATCTCTTATATGGTACCCGTTGCTGGATCATCATAAGTTGCAGTTAAACAAAACCTTTTTTTTATCAATAACAAAACCATTTAACAATAGCAGAAATTATGGTCTTTACTTACAGACATTGTGCCATCTGGATTCCGAACTCTCCTCCACCGAACAATATTGTTTTCCAAGCGGATACGTTTCTTAGATCCAGATTCATCTGTTACAAACATATCCTCTTCTACATATGTCTTTGGATCAAATGGCTTTGGTTCAATCCCCATTATATTAGAAACCTTGATCATGTTCATCTGCAACACAAAAATGGCATCAGTACATGAATAGGAGATACTATTGAGCATCAGTGGAACTGATGAAACTAAAACTGACAGTCATCAACTTGGTAAAATTTGAAAGCCCCCTAGAATGAATGGTGAAAACATATGACTGATAAAAGCACAAGTGAATAAACAAAATACATGTGAAATATTAGGAGATATTGAAGATAAAGTACAAAATTCTTTCATGTAATCAGAAAAGCTTAAGAGCCACTTGTATGTGGAATGTGCCATGTTGAGGCTTCTACACTGCACCATCAGGTTAGATTTCAAAGAAGATAATTGTAACCGAAAATGTGTCAAAGAAAATAAATCATACTAATTATTTAATATGAAAACAGAGTATGTTTAAGTAAATAGATGCTACACAAACAACAGCTGAAAAAGGATAGATTGTATTTAGGAATTTGTCAAATGAACATACAAGAAAGGTCAAAGATAAACCTTATCTGGCAGACCCGGGGGTGGACGTAGCGGAATTTCTACTTCCAGAGGGTTGCCAAGAGGTTTCTCTTTAGTTTTCTGTTCAATGTTATCTTCTGATTCATACTGTGCATCTTCATCAGGCACTATATCTTCTGGTCTCAGATCCTTCTCATAGCTCTCTTCCTCCATAGGGGATCTCTAATAGAAAAAACAAGATTTATTTGTTTATTTATTTAATAATTGCTTAGGAAAGTTACTATTATCATGCTGAAAAAACACTGACATGTGACTCTTCCTCAAGATCATTTTGAGTTGTATACTCAGCAGGTTCATCCTCATCAGAATCACCAAAAACATCTCGGATCTCAGCTGCTGAATGTGAGATATGGCCCTCATCTTTCTCTTCACTAGGTGACCTACTGCAAGAAAAAAATAAGTTGCCCAGGCTTGTCAGTAAGTTCAAAACATATGATTATTTTAGTAAAGAAGTGATGTAAACATTTGTGTCATGTAACAGATCTCTTTTTTCTGAACATGTGGGGGAGACAAATTGCTTAAAGAGCAGAACATTAAGTGTATTCAAATTTCAGACAAACAGAGAAAGATAGTATTGAAGTGGTAGGTAAACCAGCAGTTATCTGGGCCAAAAAATCCAGAAGAAATAAGCCGATATGGATTTAAAAATTTACAAAATGAAAAGCCACTTTGCAATGGAAAAGGTGAGACCTGACACCCCCAACACATAAGCAAGACCAGAATTAAAGTAGAAAAAAATTTGCAATAATTAGTAAAAACAAAGTAAACACATTTTAATAGTTGCATAACAATGCAAAAGATATTCTGAAGATGAAAAGAGAAAAATCTCAAGGGAAAACATTTGGGAATATGTAGCAACTATAAATGAAACAAGTACAAGGCAGATCACCCATGCATCAAGAAAATTGTAGATATGGATAACAAGCACAAAGAGCAATCAGTAACATAGAGATGAATAAGGGAAAATAACAAAAAGATTACTAGATGGCAAATTACCTTGGTCTTGCAGCCTGATCAACCTCCTCATCTTCGTTGTCAACATATTGGTTTTCCTCAGAACGCTCTGATTCACTATCAATTACTTCCCTTCTCCTGCTGGTTACAACTCTTTGACCATACTCTTCTTGGTCATCACTCTCAACTTCTTTTCCTTCACTTTCTTCCCTTTGATCACTAACTTCTCTTTCTGGTGAACTTTGAGCCCTTTCACCCTCACTCTCTCCAGGATCAGGATCTACATCATGTAGTTCTGCATCACTCTCTACTTCTGCCTCGCCTTGACCCTCAATTTCAGCCTCACCTTCACCCTCAAGCTCCGCCCCACCCTCCCCTTCATCCTGGGCAAATAACCATTACCAAATGATGTTAGAATCCAGCAACAGTACTTCATTTTTTGCTTTAGCACATTCATCTAAAAGTGAAGGGAAAATCAACAAGTTTTTTTCAACAAGTTGAGAAACCACTAAAATTACAGTAAGCATTATAGCTCTTAATTTTATACAGTAAATTTGTTGTACTAAACGTTGTAGTTCTTAATTTTATATAGTAAGTTTGTTATTGCAACAGAAGTACTTGTCCTCATTGTATAGCTCCTGATTCTACATGAACAATACACATATATATACCCTTGTTGGGTTTATACCAATATGCCTTTACATTCTTGAAAGAATATGTATTATGAACTTGAAGTTAATCTAGGGCTTCTGTCAAACAGCTTTATATAGGTTCTGGTGTAATTTCAATAACGGATGAATTATACTAACCCCATGTCCCATTTAACAATTCAAAACAAGTACAAATCATCAATATACATATCAGAACTCATAAGCAGTCGGGCTTGAATCAAATATATATATAGCCATATAGGAAAAGCAAACAAGAAATTGTGGGCGGACCAACTCAAATATATACTAGCTATAACTCATATTCTTCTTCTGATGTGGTATACTGTTTTAAAATGCTAATGTCGGCCTGCTCGAAAACTTCTCATATAAATTCAAATAGTTCTTTTTTCACATACAATTTAGACAGAGACATACTCTAACTCCGAGTCCCCTTTAACAATCCAAAACAAGTACAAATCATCAAAATACATCTCAGACGTAGTCGGGCTTGTATCAAAAATAATTAGGAAAAGCAAACAAGAAATTGTAGGCAGACCAACTAACTCATGTTCTTCTTTTAAGGTAGTATTCTGTTTTAAAATCCTAATGTCAACCTTCTCAACAACTTCTCATATAAATTCTTTTCACATACAATTTATACAGAGACATAATTACTCTAAGATACAACCATTCCATTGTGTTTTCAATTATCTGTTCTTTTATAAAAAAATGGGTTAGAAATAAATGAAACATTGTTACCAATCAAAAAGAAATAAATGAAACATCGGTGTGTACACATAAATTTTCGCCTCCAAATGTTATAAGGAAAGACGATAAAGTTTACCCATTTTTCTTATCAGCCAAGGCACCGAATAACGAGTTCAGATATCAACGTTTTCCCCAGAAAATTTTATTTAAAAAAAAAAAGTGATGTATGTACATCTGAGAAAACCTAGGAGAGAGGCGTTGGGGAGATCATGAACCGAATCAACTGTTTCAGGTAAGAATAATAAAAAAAAAAAAAAGTCGAGAGAGATTACAGAGATATAATCGCGTTGTCGTGCTACTTCGTGCTCGGAATCAACCTCCTCTTCTTCCTCCTCTTCTTCAGACTGATCACCGAAGAGGTTCTGCATCATCTGGTGCCGCTTTTCTTCACCCATCTCGTTCAATCTGGAATTCTGGATTTCCTTCTTCTTCAGAGCCCTCTTACACTAGCTGTTCTCCCCTCGTAGTCACAGAGCAACAAAACAAAGATGAATATTGAATAAAATTGTCAAAGATGTTAAAGGTGTAAAAATAGAAACTATCAAATTAAGACCCTCTTCCTAATCAATAGATGGGCCGGGACATAAACAGCATTTTGTTGGACCCGAGCCCGAGCCCGGCCCGACCAACGGGCTGGGCCCGAGTCCGGGTTTGATAAAAAGCCCGAGCCCGAGCCCGAGCCCGAGCCCAAAACATGAGAATGAGTCTATAGAGAAGATTGACTCTGGAAATTGTTCAATAGGGTTTTGATCAAACCCAAACCAGACTCTCCACCTAACAAATTTATTCTCTTTGTCCTTGCTTTTCTGGCCTAGAAAAATCCCACTGAACTTGGACAAAGGACAAGCTCGATTTTTTGGGGGGTGAACATGAACGGAATTAAACACAAAGAAAAATAAAACAATTACAATCTACTAGGAGTGGCTTACTAATTACTAAACCAAACTACCACAAGGGACTTTCACTGAAGCACGACAAGCCAACTCGTGCGCTACTCAGTTACTTGACCACTTGATGTAATACAACAAAATGGCAAAGAGGACTCATCGTCGGTGGCTGTGTTCGCTGGTGTTGAGTTCACAGTGAACTAAGATTTTGACAATGAAAAGTGAAGTCAGTTCGCATATGAGAGAGAGAGAGAGGACTCATTGCCACCGGCGGTGCCTGTGTTCGCTGCCTCGCCGGTGCCTAAGTTTGCGTCTAAGATTTGAGAGAGAATAAGTGAGAACTAAGAAGAGGAACGCGAGAGAGAGAGAGAGGACTCATTGCCACCGGCGGTGCCTGTGTTCGCTGCCTCGCCGGTGCCTAAGTTTGCGTCTAAGATTTGAGAGAGAATAAGTGAGAACTAAGAAGAGGAACGCGAGAGAGAGAGAGAGGACTCACGTCGATCTGCGAGAGTTTACTGATTGTGCCAGTGAGTGTTCGTCGGTTCTGTGTTTGCCTGAGAGTGTGAGGTTGTGAGTCACTACGAAAATTAAGAAGAGGTTCAGCTAACTGGCTTAGACAAGAAAGAGATGAATGAGAAGAGGGGTTAGGATATTAGGGTTTTTTGGTTTAACCTATAGGTCAGGCTGGGCTTTTATAACAAATCCCGAGCCCGCCCTATAACATAGTCGGGCTTGGGCTTTTAGGCTCGAGGTCAAGCCTACAGGCTCAAATGTGTGTTCAAACCCGTTCAGGGGCCGGGCCGGCCTGTCGGGCTACCCGGCCATGAACAGGTCTACTAATCAAATAAGAAGACACGGCCGATGGATTTGAAGATGGCTGAACTTGCTGAATAGCTACTTACCGCCATATGACTATTTTATATGTGCTAAAAAATAAGTAATTCAACAGATATAATTTAGGGTGAATTACATAATGCCACCTCTATTTAGGGAGTGATGACACTTAATCCTCCAAACTTTGTTTTGAGATGAAGAGAAACCTCTGAATTTATGAATTTGAGTACTTTGCCCCTAGAGGCTAGAGGTTTTGTGAAATGTGATAAAGGGGTGCTTAAACATGCCAAAAAATAGCCAGGAATGGTGGGAACAAGGACGAAGGATTAGCTGAACGTGATGGCTATTCAGTGGGCTGTATGGGCTGTAGAACCCATGATAATTTTCAACGTCATTAATAAATTTTGAGGTGCGAATCGCATATAATTTATTATTGACGTGGAAAATTATCATCGGTTCCATAACCAGTCGAACAGCCATAGCATTCAGCTAATCCAAACAAGGCGATGAATTCCTACAAGGAAAAACTCTCCAAACAGGGGAATCCAGCCAAACATATATGTATGGAACATTTTTTCCATGAATTTGACATTGAATGGGAGATATTCCCAATGTGTGTCTTGATGCTATGTGCCTGGAGTATTTTTGCTTGCAAGAGATTTTAAGTTCTTTCATTTTATAGTCCAACCTGGTCCAGTTAGGAAAAAAAATCGGTTTTAAGAATGATAATTTCTATTCTACCTGGTGGGTATTCACCGTGATAAGGAGGTTTTTTTTCCTTGAAATGGATTCTGGGGTGAGGACGGGTTCACAACCTGTATGAATATGAACAAGGTATGAATTAGCACTGTTTTCAAAATCGGACCGAACCGGACAGTCGGACTAGAAAAATTGGTATGGCCGGTTCCGTTTTCCCCCCAAAACCGTTGATCTTGGTCAGCAAACCGCTGAACCAGTTGGTTAACCATTTAAACGGTTCAAATGGTTTTGACCGTTTTCCAATTTCTTTTATTTTTTTGTCAGAACGGGCCAGCCGTTTGAACCGATAACCAGACCCCTGACTGGTTTGTTTTTAAAAACTATGTGAATTAGGCTAAACCCGGACCACATATTGTTAGAAGTCCTACGAACTTATGCACTAGGTGCTTAAATGTAACAATATTTTGAATCTTTTGTGAAAGATAATTGATAGTTTGTTCTTTTACCTATTTAATCAAATAATTAGAAATTTTGATATTTTTTCATGCTACTTTACTTAATTTTTACTAACATGTAACATTTAAATTAGGTGCATGTTTTAAACCCAATCAGCCAATTGGACCCACTCCACTCTCAAATGCAGAGAAGGTTTTACATTTTTATATACAGGAAAGATTTGAATTCTAAAAAAAATGAAAATCCAACACAGTAGAGGGTTTTGGGAGGATACTAAGAAGTTTATGAAGATGAATGAGTCTACAATTTATAAAACCCTTTTTTTTATTTTTTTTTGATAAACAGGTTCAAAAACTTCTAGTTGGTCTAGAACGCGGCCTTTCGCTCATAGGAAAAAAAAAAAAAAGAATGAAAGAAATTTCAAATTAGGTTATGCTTGCATTGGTTCGAAGGAAAAGGTAAGGAAAGCGGCCTTTCCCTGTCTTTCCCTTCCTTTTCATAATTGTTCTTTTAAACCAAACACAACCTTACTTATCGAGTCATGTAGTTTTTTTTTTCTATTTCACAAATTTTTCTCAATGTTTTCACATGAAACATCTTTGAGGTGTGCTGGTTCCAATTCCCAAACCACACAGGCACACACCCAAAAATATAATAAATAATAAATGACAATAAAGTAAAGCCCAAGTAAATGATTTAAATTACCTGTATTTGAATGTCCCAACGATGGATGCTGGTGGATGAGCTACAACTGGAAGTGTCCAAAGTAATTTAAAAATTATCATCGGGCCTCTTTCATATTTATATTGGTCAGTCTTGATTTTTTTTTCTTTATATTGTTTTTTTCAAACCAAAAGAAAACTTTAAGGCTGTATTTGTTTTGAAAGAAGAAGTAGGGAAAGGTAGGTTTCCCTACCTATACAACGTTTGTATAAATTTTCTTATCATTTCCTTCCTTTCCTTACTTTTTTCTTCAAACCAAACACAGCTTAAGGATCCAAAGGATCAAATGTGTTATAGCCAAAGACAGAGATGTGATTCTAAAAAATGGCTCTACTAGGTCCAATGACTTGGGCATCAACTTTGGCCTTATACTGCTTGAGGTCAAAGCGGTCGAACGACCTACTAGTTAAGATAGTCATTTGGCATCACCCCATAATAAGAGGTGCAAAATCAAATCCTCAAAACTGCACGTTCTTCATGGTATGGCCAAATGGGCCTCGTTTGCAACCTATCCACACCCCTTGTACCTTGATTCTCCTGTAGTAATTTTTTGGGCAAATTTTAAACTATTTTTATAGTTTAGCTACTAATTGACTAATGTCTTAAAGTACTCTCAAATTTTTTCAATGGGCTAATTACTCTCTTATCATTAGGATTTCGTCACAATCCACTCACATATCACACCAGATGATTATTATATCTTGAGAAAATGATAATAATACCCTTTCTCCAAAATTAGAGAAAAAATGGCATCATCATTCAACCGGTGCCGTAATGCCTGTTTGTTACGGTCTGACACAGGCTTAGCCTTGCCTACGTTTTGCAGGCTTATGTTAAGGGACATCACCGTCATTTTCGCCAGTAAGATTTTTGGGAGAATTGATGTTATCTTCAGGCATACCACCAAAAGCTTAACGTACTCTTTGAGAAGGGGCGGTCGACCTCCTTGGGTGCCTAACCTTGGCACTCCTAGACCAACTTCCCTTGCGGGGCGACCCTGGTTAATGGCTAGCATAGCTACCAGGGTTCCTCATGGGCGCACACTTGCTCATGGGGACAGTGCATGGACCGACACTGCGCTGCCGACACTCAAGGGAGGCTTGGCATGCGGACCTGGCTCAAGCATGACCCTTCACCTCGTCAGCCCCTTGCCCAAGCTGAATGAGCTATCTCGTTGCCCCTAGCACACGGGTGTGTTCCGGCCCAAGCGATTGCCTATCATCATGGCACACAGGTGCCCATCATCATCGGTGCCAAGTCACCTCTTCGGCGCACAGTCACCTCACATTATGGCCGTCCCCCTTTAGCACGTAAGYGGCGCCTCCCATGGACCGGTCAGAGCCAGCCGAGGGCCCCGGCCATGCGACTTGAGGTCATGATCCAGTGCTATTGACCTTGGTGGAGCCATCTCATCGAGCAACTCCTAGCCTCTAAGCACACAAAGGCTTGTCCTGGCCTACCTTGGCCTGGACGCCGCACAAGTTTCTTCCGCTGTAGAACTACCCCCGTGACACGATGGTTGTCAAGATGCAACACCAATATGCTACTGTTACAACTCATGTTTAGGTTCCAACTCTTGAGGTCGTCCAACTCACTCTCCGACATCCATATCGTTTCGGTGCTTCAGTCTCCAAGGAATTGTCCAAAGGTTGTTGACTATCATCTTCAGTTCTATTAGCTTCTATCTCCTATGCAATGGGATTCTTCGATGACTTCTTCATCAATGGAGTAGTGGAACAAAAGCAAACGAGACAAATTTCAAACAATGGATATCCTCCCCATATTTGTAGTGGCGGTCTCTGTTGGTTTGACACCTGGTTTAAACAACTGATATCTTCCCTTGTTTTCATCCCTGTCTTCCCTTGTTTCATGCTAAATGCAAGGAACCGATGAACAGGAGACGATTTCTCAACATGACTATTGC